CGTGCAGGAAGATGCGCTCGCTGCGCCGCCGCGTCCACAGGTCGTCGTCGCTGGCCTCGGGGCCCGCCTCGAAGCCCGCCTCCTTGGGCCCGCGCAGCTTGCGGGCCCTGCGCCCCTTGTCCGCCACCAGCTTGGCCTTGTCCGGGCTGGCGGCGCCGCGGACACTGGGCGCCGGGCCCCCCAGGCCACCGCCAGCCTCGCCAAGCCCCTTCTTGGGCCGCAGCAGCCCGGCCGGCGAGCGCTTCCGCACCTTGACCTCGCTCTCCGAGTCCGTGTACTCGAACTCCGTGCCTGGACACGGGGCGGGGCGGGGCACACGTTGTGGGCCGGGCTCTCCGGGGCGCCCCAGGCCCCACCCACCCCGTCCCGCGAGTACGGGCGGTCCTCCCCCTTCCCAGGCGTGGAAACTGAGGCCCAGGGGTAGCAGATGCCACCCCCACTCTGACCCTAATCCCCACTCTGTCGCCCAGGCTCGGCTCCCTCACCTCACCCCCACACCATCCCCGGGGAAAATGACAATGAGGGGCTGGGTCCGCAAAAGCTGTCTGGGGCGACCCCCTGGAAATCCCCCCCACCCCCACCAGGCCAGCTGAGGAAGGAGGGCCCCAGCCCTGGGAAAGTCCCACAAAACTGACACCCTTGCTGGGCCCCTCAGGCCTCCTGCCTCTAGCCCTACACGGCAGGCAAGGCCACCCAGTGTCCCCAGACCTCCAGCCGGACCCAAGGCTTCAGCCCTGGCCAGTGCACACCCTCAGTCGCTACGCTCCCTTCTTCCACTGCAAACTCCACCTGGAGACTGCTGTGCCTTTTGTGAGAGGACCTGCCTCAGTGTCCGAGGGCACCCCCCGGCCCCGGCCCCGTGGCAGGACCTGGTGCCCACCCTTGATCACAACAGACAGGGACTGCTCCCCACCCCCATGGCTCCCTGGGGAACCCCCAGGATGGCACAGCTCTGAGCAGCCTCCAAGCTGGAGCAGGGAGAATGCGGATGTGAAGGTTAATGCTCACCACACCCTGCCTCCTCCAGCCCGACCCCTTGAGGCCACATCTCCGAGGCTGCCCCCCCACCCCCACCCAAGGGCCAGCAACTTGCCCTGGGTCCCACAACACAAGGGCAGAGACTCCATTTCCCACTCTCAAGCCCCTGGAGGGCAGCAGCCTGCCAACAGCTCCTGGGGGAGAGCAGGCCCCATGGTGCCAACAGATGCAGCATCGCAGTGGGGACCTGCTTGGGGGGCCTGCTGACAGGAAAGATCCACTGGCGAAGCCTAATGATGCTATTAATTAATCTTTTGTTAACAGACTTCCCGCTGCACAAGGAGGCAGGGGTGGGGTGGGGATCTGCTCCAGGAGGGTGAGGACCATAAAACACAGGCCGAGAGCTCAGCTGTAGGTAAGAC